AGAACAGCCGGGCGGTTGTGGCGCACGCCTTTAATCCCAGCACTCGGGAGGTAGAGGCAGGCGGATCTCTGCGAGTTCAAGACCAGCCTGGTGTACAAGAGCTAGTTCCAGGACAGCCTCCAAAGCCACAGAGAAACCCTGTCTCAAAAAACCAAAAAAATAAAAAAGAATCAGAACATACCCAATTTTATTTAATAATAGCCGTAAAACTCAGATCATCTCTATAAATACCTAAGTGATCAGCCTCAGACAGTGACTTTGTTTCCAAAATAAAACCAAAACATACAAAAATAAAAGAAGACACAAACAAACAAAAAACAAAATAAACTACTAATATATGTGGGAGCTTTTAAGAACTGACTAATTATCATATGAACATATTTAACTATTATCTTTTCTTCTGCCCAAAGCCTTACATACTTGAGGGTCATTTTACCCAAGTGATTACTTAGGCTCATGGTGTACCTAAAGGACAATGCTATCATGCATCTTTCTTTCTCAATCTAGCTGTATTTTTCACATTACCTTTTTCTCTTCAGCTTTTTTGTTGTTGTTTATTTGTTTTCTTTTGAGTTGGGTCTCACTATATAATCCTGACCAATCTGGAACTGAGTTTGCTGACCAAGCTGACCCAGAATTCAAAGAGATCTACCTGCCTCAGTCTCCTCACTGCTGAAATCCTCCTTTCTTTCTTTTTTCATTTCTTTGCCTCTTGTTATTTGTTCACCCTGCCTCCACCAAGGTCTTCTGTACCTCAGCTGATAGTCACTATTACACATGCAACCTTCTGATTAGGTTAACATCCCTTCTCCATTTGTGGCTAGATGTGTTGGAGTAATGATTTTTCTATTTCTTCTCTTATTAAGACCATGTCAGAACAGTGGCCATGACTGCAATCCAAATGCTGAATACACACAGGGTTCCTGTGATAGAAATGAAAGCCTATGAACAATAACTTTATTAGCTTACAAAACTAAATTTCTAGGCCAATTCCACATAATGTAGCATTTGGACACATTGCTGTATTTTATAAAGGAGTCACTGTTCTGTTGCCAAAGTTCATTTTTGGTGTTCTACTCCCTACAGCTGGTATGTCAACAATAAAAAAGACACATCTGACTATTATCTAAAATATAAGTTTTTCGTCATTATGGGATACAATTTACATGACTTCTAAACATAAAAATTTGGTATTCAATATTCTTTTTTGAAAAAAGTTGAAATTTATCTTCTGAATAATTAATATAACACTGAACATTCCAATATTCTTGGATGAAAATATTAAATAACCACAAAGACCATAAGTTAAGATGCATGGAAAGCATTGGTCTCTAATAAAATAAATACTTGAGTTTCATGGTAAAATATGCTTTGACCAAATATTATAAAACATTCATGCATCTTTTATTTAATTATTCCTTATTACTGAGCTCTAATATGTGTCCTTGTGTATTATGATATATATACACACATAAATGTGCATATATATGTAGAAATATATGAATTTCTCAAAATAATGCATCATTCCCCTTTTTTCTTAGCTACAATTTTGTTTTCTGTGGTTATAATTTGTCCTGGTCAGATGATGTTCAAGTGTATTGGTTAGAAAATTCATTAAACAGATATCAATTTTAAATTCACACTATTCTGACTATCATTATGAAATCTCATACAACCCCATTCCATCCAGCACCCATTTTGTACATATGACCTTGCAGTTAGTCACTTAATAGGTATCTTAGATTCTATCCCATGGTACTGTAAGACTTTTGCACAAGAGCAGTTTATTCTACTTACTAGTGACATGCTCCACAAGAATGATGACACTGTCAAGTCAAATATGACACAGATTAGCTACAAGAAGCTTCTTTTATCTGAAAAGGTGACAGTTCAAGCTAGGTTAAGAAAAAAGAAGTGTGTGCCACAGTGTCTAAGAACAGTACTAAATTGTTAATTTTCTACTTTGATTAGTTTATTATTTAATTGTTGTTACATCATATATATACACATACATTATATATATATATATATATATATATATGTATATATATATATATATATGTATATGGTATATATATGGGATTTAGTGCTGCCTACACTTTGGAGAGTTTCTCTGAGGATCTTGAAATACATTCCATATGGATGAGGGTGATATGAGAACAAGTGTTTTTATTAAGTCACTGAAACAGATTACTCCACTTCCTTCTGGACCCCATGGCTTATGATGCGAAACTGCATGGAATTTGTATTCTTTATTTCTGATTCTATAAGATGCCTCTTTTTTATATTCTTTTCCAAGTTCTTCAAAGAATATCTCACAGATAAGAGGAAACTACTTCATAAAGATTTTTTGGATTTCTTCTAAATAATTCTATATGAAGAAATAAAAGATCTTCATAAACAAAGCCATTGTCTCTCCATTTGCAATGACTTCTCTAGAGGAGGGGGAAATATACCTGCATAGTTTGCAGATTCTGACTGGGATATTGTAGATCCTACTAACAAAAGACTAACTAACAAGTGACAACAGAAGTGCATGCGCTGAAAAGCATTTAGATATGGGTAGCAAGAAGGAGAAAACAAAAAGAAGGTAAAGGATTTTTGAGTTACCAGGAGCAGCAAGTTCTAGGAAGACAAATATCTAGAGTAACCAACTCAAGGGAAATACTAGTTTCTGCAGAGTTAGTGGTCCTTAAAATATCATAACATGTACCAAATGACTCAGTTGGATACAAGGTTTTGAATTTATGTCCTTGTATTGAAGACAGTTATTTGTATTTTTATATACAAAAGCAAACTTTGTAGTATTTTCTTGGCATTTTGAGACATGGTGTCTCTGTGTTAGCTTTGGAGTCTGTTCTGGCACTTGCTTGAACTGGCCTCGAACTCACAGAGATCTGCCTGCTTCTGCCTCTGCCTCTTGAGTGCTGGGATAAAAGCTGTGAGCCACTACTATTGGGATAGTAAATTTAAAGGGCTTACTTTTCAGAAATCCCTGTTTCAAAGAAATATTGGTAATCACTGTATAACCTTAAATATAGTTGGTTTAATCTGGATGACTTTAACTATTATCTTTATTCTCTCAAAAGAGTTGGATTATTTGCTGAGTCTGAGTTATGCAGCAATTCATAATTTATTTTGTGTCAATATCTTAATATATTACAATAGGGAAATGACACTTTTCATCAATGAGATACTGAAATATATTCACATTGTACCTTGATCCATGCCTCAATTCCTCATTCAAAAATACTGAGAAATTGATAATATTATGGGGAATGTTGAAAAGGCATTAGGTGCTTTCAAACACTCTGCAGTCCAAATGGGAAGGCCATGATAATGCACACCAGTCCAGAAGTAAAACAAATTCGATTTACCAAGTAAAATCTAAAGATAGTGTTTTGTTTTTAATTCTAACAAAACAGATAAGTCTACAGTGTTGTTTGATTTCAAGCAAGTTGTTCATTTTATACTGCTTCTCAGCTTTGTAGGAAAGAATGGAAGATGGTTTAGTATACAGAGGGTTTTCCCTTCAACTGTGCAATGCCATGAACATTACAGCTCATAGCTGTCAACCTTGCTTGGGTGGAGACTGATTCACAAGTCATGACATCAGGATTCTGCTTAGGAGACTTAATGGGGATATGATCTACTTTTTATATTCTGCATATCACTGTGTGATGTGACTGTGGACCTGCAAGTAACTTTCTTGTGCTTATTTGAATCCGGGAATGATTCTTTTTTTTCTACAAGCGTTTTATCACAGAGAGTCTGCTAATCAAAGTACAGATTCACTGTAAAGTAGATGATCAGACGTTGCAAAACAGGACAACATTGGGTGATTTCATTGTCATATCTATTGTTAGCATCACCTTGAAGGTTCAAAATATATTGACAGTTGTTTTGGAAGGGTTAGGATGATACTTCCTTTTCAATTTCTTTTGTGGGTCTGGGTTTGGAATCACTTACTTTTGAAATGGAGTTGCTGTAAAGAATCCTGTGTTTTCATGTGTTTGTATTGTTCAAGGGCCATCAATAGAGATGCAAGAACTCTCTCTGCACAAAATGGACTCTTAAGTATCAACCAACTCCTGTTTATGGGTACCTGGCAGCCACCCTGAGTCAACTCAACAGAATGAAAAATATTTCAAGTGACTGGAAACAAAGAAATTTATTTATTTTTGCTCATTCTGGATAAAAACTGTGTTATTTTCTACAGTATGTTTGACCAAAATATCATGATCTAAGGAACTTTGAAAAGAAAAAGAAGATGATCTCAAATACTACACTCAGGTCCAATTGCCCTTGAAGGGAATGGGAGATTAAAACTAGTCAAACAGTTTAAGACAGGAATTTGGGAGATTCTTGTCCTTGGCCAGAAGTCAGAAATATCCTTGGATCTATTAGGGACCTAGAAATTTCAGTAGTTTTTAGAGGCTCTGATTTCTCGTCTGGTCTATTTCAATATTTTGTCTGCATTTCACAGCTACCTGGAAGCTCTACATGAGAGTATGGCTGAAACCCATTCTGGAAACAGTAATTCCTTTTGGTGAACAGTTTTGGAATGAGAGATCAGCATTTTCATGGTGGAAATTTGTTATGTCTACTATAATCTTCACAGTGGTGCAATTAATACTTGAACCCTTCATACTCAAATGCTGTATTAAGTATTTCTCCTCTCATTTATTGTAAATGTATACTTGGATGATCTTGTGGCAAATTAACTCCATTTATCTGGGATCTTCACCATTGTCTTATAAAAATTGAAATTCAGGAAAGGGGAGACCCTAAACCCTTCTTCCCCAAATTTCAGACCATATCCTAAATGACATCAGAATTTCAAATTCCAAGATGGGAATATTTTGGTGATTAGTAAGCCTGAGGGCCATTTGGAATAGATAGTTTCTTCATGGAATTGGTCCTACCTCTCCTTTCCCTCCTAACATTAGAAAGGGAAACATCTTAACAGTCACACCTTAATATGTACAACACCATATAAAATGGTCTCAGAAAGGCTCCTGTGTGGTTGAACTTGCCTAATGTGGGTGCATCCTCATACCTGACAGTTCAACCTTGACCTAAAGTATATTCCCATAGAATAATTTCCTAGGCTCAGAATTTGCAATTACAGGTGTGAAGATTCTTACAGTAATTGGATGATTGTATGTATGTTGATGATGCAAACAGGACTATTGAAATAATAAAAGTTAGCGCGGCATTGGTGGCACACGCCTTTAATCCCAGCACTCGGGAGGCAGAGGCAGGGGGGTCTATGTGAGTTTGAGACCAGCCTGGTCTCCCGAGTGAATGCCAGGATAGGCTCCAAAGCTACACAGAGAAACCCTGTCTCTAAAAACCAAAATAAAATAAAATAAAATAAAATAAAAGTCACATATGTACATGTCAGTGTGCATGTGCGTGTGCGTGTATACACTGTGTGTGTGTATACACTGTGTGTGTATACACTCTGTGTGTGTGTGTGTGTGTGTGTGTGTGTGTGTGTGTGTGTGTGTGTGTGAAGATACTAGGACTTCATTGAGAATTATTGGAGAAAGTTACTTCTTCCTGGTCAAGATAAAAAAATCAGAATGTATCTCTGCTCTTAGGGGAGAATAAGATATTCTGATCCACTACAGAGAATTACATACTACTGTCTCTTCCTTTAAGTGTTAATCCAAGTAGGTCCATCAATCAAGAGACTACCATATGAAAGATGATTTTCCTGAAGATGTGTTAAAGGCAAGAGAGGAATTATTATCTCCATAATGAGACAATGTACTTTCATTTCAAAGAAGCTCTTCCACAATGAAGCTTGTGCAATTCATCACTTCTAAATCTGACTCCTTATATTTTCTTTTGTTTGCTTTTTTCTCATCAATATGATAAGAGAGACACTTGTCAAACTTATTAACCATATACAGAGTAGATATGTTTTATTGACTGTAACATTCTTTATTAAATATAATTGTGTAAGAGGGGCCACCTATATCCAAAAGTAACATTCAATAGCAAGTAAGTATTTTTTTTTGTTTTGAGGGTACAGTATTACATGGTGAATATTTTTTTAAAAAGTATTGTTAGGGATTAATGCCAGAAAAATAAAGGATTTACTTTAAAGGGCTAATATTTAAAATTTTTTTAAGTTCTGATTCTATGTGAATGTAGGTGTTTATATGAAGAAGCAAATATCTCATTGCTGTTATTCAAAATGCTATGATTTTTTTCTGTAAACATTGAAATCTAATTTCTTTTTTATTAATTTTATTTGGTCTTGAAGTCTCCTACTATAAGTGTGTGAGGTTTTATGTGTGGTTTGAGCTTTAGTAATTTTTCTTTTACAAATGTGGGTGCCTTTGTATTTGAGGCATAGATGTTCAGGAATGAGACTTCATCTTCATGAACTTTTCCTGTGATAAGTATGAAATGCCATTCTTCATCTCTTTTGATTGATTTTAGTTTGAAGTCTAATTTTTTAGATATTAGGATTGCTACACCAGCTTGTTTCTTGAGTCCATTTGATTGGAAAACCTTTTCCCAACCCTTTATTCTGAGATACCATCTGTCTTTGAAGTTGAGATGTGTTTCTTGTATGCAGCAGAAGGATGGATTCTGTCTTCATATGCATTCTGTTAGTCTGTATCTTTTTTTAGGCAAGTTAAGACCATTGCCATTGAAGGATATTAATGACCATTGACTGTTGATTCTTATTTGTTTTTGGATTTGTTGTTGTGTGGATTTCCCTACTTTTTTGTTGTTTGGTAAGGTGTGATTATCTATTGTCTAAGGTTTTTTGAGTATAGTTATCATCATTATATATTGGAGTTTTCTTTCCATTAATTTCTGTAAGGCTGGATTTGTGGATACATATTGATTAAATCTAGTTTTGAAATGGAATATCTTGTTTTCTCCATCTATAGTGATTGAAAGTGTTGCTGGATACAGTAGTCTGGGCTGTCATCAATGTTCCTTTAGAGTTTGTAGAACATCTATCTAGGATTTTCTAGCTTTCCAAGTTTCCATTGAGAAGTCAGGTGTAATTCTGATAGGTCTGCCTTTGTATGTTATTTGGCCTTTTTCTTTTGCTGCTCTTAATATTTGTTCTTTATTCTGTAAGTTTGGTGTTTTGATTATTAAGGGGCGAGAGGACTTCTTTTTGTGGTCCAATCTATTTGGTGTTCTGTAAGTGTCTTGTACTTTCATAGGCATATTATTATTTAGGCTGGGGAAATTTTCTTTAATGATTGTGTTGAATAAGTTTTCTGTACCTTTGAGCTGAATTTCTTTGCCTTTTTCTATACCTATTATTCCTATGTTTGGTCTTTTCACGGTGTCCCATATTTCCTGGATATTTTGTGTTAGAGATTTGCTGGACTTGAGATTTTCTTTGTTTGATGACTGTATATCCTCTAGTGAGTCTTCAACACCTGAGATTCTCTCTTCCATTTCTTGTATTCTATTGGTTATGCTTACATCACTAGTTCCTGATTTTTTACCCATCTTTTCTATTCCCAACATCCCTTCATTCTGTGTTTCCTTTATTGTGTCTAATTGTGCTTTCAAAACATGAATTGTTTCCTTCACTTGTTTGGTTGTTTTTTCTTGGTTTTCTTTAGATTATTTAAGGGATTTATTTATTTCTTGAATTTTTTGTTTTGTCTTTTTCTCCATTTCATGTAATTTTTTGTTTGATTTTTCTTCTATTTCTTTAAGTGATTTTCTTGTTTCCTCTTTAATAGTCTCTATCGTCTTCATAAGATAATTTTTAAGGTCCATCTCTTCTTCATTCTCTAAGTTGGCCTTTTCAGATCTTGCTGGTGTGTTGTCCCTAGATTCTGGTGGTGTCATATTGGTGTTTCTGTTGTTGAGTGTGTTCTTACTCTGTAGTCCTCCCATCCCGTCTTCCAGTTGGTGTAGATGGTGTCTCTCCTTCTCTCGGCTGGCAGGTGCAGAGCAGAGGGCAGTGGGTGGACAAGGGTGAGGTGTTTCGGGACTCAGCATGGGCCTTCTGGTCTGAGCAGGTCCACTCTTGTGGGGGGGCTCAGGAAGAAGTGAGCAGGAGTTGATGAGGCAGGTTGAGGGCAGAGCAGCGCCCAGACACACCTGAGGCTCGGGCGCCAGCCAGAGGACTGAAATCTAATTTCTTAAAAACTATAATACTGATTCAGATTCATATATTATTTTTGAAATATTGTTATGTGAACTACTTCCTGTTACTCTTGCCACTTAATTCCCACCTCTCCGCTGGAAGCTTACATTTGTACCTTACTTTGCATTACTAAAGATTCCATGCACTCATTAAATGAAGATTTTTGGCATGAATGTATAAAATTATATAGTAAGCTCAAACATTCTGCAATACATATTTTTGTATGATTTAATATATTTTCATGATACATGTATATACATTTTGATCTGAGTGCAATTTAAAGCACTCCAAACATTACTAAACGTGACTATGTTCAGATCCAGATTCATTTGATTGGCTTAAACTTTTGCCACATTTCAGATAAGTGTTCATCCCAAAATAAGACAATTGTACTGTTCCATCTAAGGCTCAGGGAATGTTGTGGAAAGGCAATAGGAGGAAGGCTATGAAATGCTATCTTCTGGCTAAAGCAGGGCTATTGCAATCATGAACCTACCAAAGCTAGGGGTCCTGGGGTGAGTCTTCATAAGAACCAGCCTATCTACATTCAGGCACAGATTGAGGAAGGGTTCATAGGTGCCTAGAAAACACTGCTTTAGGAAGGGGAGAGGCATTGCATTCTGTTGTGCTGTTCTTACAAAGAGTTTCAATCCAATTCTTACACAGATGTATCCCAAAATAAAACTGAAAGTCGTGAATCTGGGTAAGACAGTGGTGGCAATGAGGGGGCCTGGAGTTGGCATATATGAAGCGATAGAAGAGACAGTATGGGAAAGTGTTATTAGAATATATTGTATGTGTCTGTAGGAAATTGTCAGAAAACAAAATTAACTAAAAAAACCATTAACAATAAAAGAAATCACTTGTGTTCAGAGTTTATTACAAAGATAACTTGGGCATCACTATTTTAAAGCTTATAATTCACAGGGATTTTATACCTAGCATTTAAAACTTTTATACTATACTCACATCACAAAGCACATATTATAAGTTGGGTGAGACTTAACAAGTACAGAAACATGTATTTAAAATTCTCTAACTTAAAATATTCCATCTTCCTAAAAATTCTTCCTATAACTTCTTTGGTCAGTATACTTCTTCCCACTTCACAGATGTAGCCACATTCTTATTTATTCCATCACTGATGAGTTTTTCCTATAGGACGTTATATAAATACAATCTGCATGTCTGGCCTCATTGACTTACCAGCACATTTTTCAGCTACATGCACATGAGTGATCTGCCCCTTTATAATGATACATCCTTATCAGAGTAGAACTACACTACATTTGCTTATCCATTGTCCTAGTCATTATTGTATGTATTGCTTCCAACTTGAGGCTACTCTAAATAAATATCTATTTCATTTTTGTGCCTCTATATTTTGTTTCTTTGGGGGGAGAATGTTTAGAAATGGTTTTCCTGGGACATAGAGTATGGCTAACTTTTTTTGTTAATCAGCTAATCCTACTTAGTCTAAGGAGAGTTTACATTTTACTTTTACCAGTAATTCACTAGAGCTCTGGTAGAGGCAACTATTTTAAAACTGTTAACTAAAAAAGGACTTTGTTTCACCATCGAATAAGAACCATGGGTGTAAAGAAACCATTTGGTCACTGTCATCATGGTTTGATGGGCTGTAAAAATTAAAATAAGAACGTGCTACTTTTAGCTGCAATGGGGTCATTCTGTAGAGCAAGAATAAAATGTCAAACAGCAAAGTCAAATCTGAGCTCCTGCTAATTGTGAGGCAGACACAGAAGCACGTGGCTAGAGAGCTGCCCTTGGCCGATTTTACAACTGCCACACACACTTCAGTATCAGATTTATTTTCAAGTATATCAGCATTGAATTGGTTTAAACAGAAGTACTGAACTCACTGTGCATTTCATCTCCCAAGCCTGCGTCAGCCCTCATTCCTCACCCACTTAATGCTGACGAACATTGTGTGGCCAGAAATAAATGCCTGCTCTCAATTTTGTCCCAAATCTTTAGTGTTCTGCCAGTGCTGACATTTCTGTAGTTTCTCACATCTCCCTAAGG